ATCTGGAAGGAGCTCTTAATCTGAAAAGACACAAGAAGTCAGGGGTTTTGTTGTTGTTGTTGTTTCTAACACAATTGTCAGGTGGTGGCAGGAGTCTGTCAGGGGGTGGCTGGTGTGACCAGGCTGTTCTCCATGGCTATTGCAGAGAGTGGTGGCAAGCAGCGAGAGGGGCGTGCTGTGCCAAGGAGGTGACAGAGGAACTCTGAAAAGGCTGGGGAAGGGGCAAGTAGTGGAGGAGCCTCTCTGCAGAGGCACCAGCTGCTGCCCACCTCCTTGCAGCTCTGGGGGATGCTGGGGAGAGTTTTGCAACATGGAGTCAGCAGGACCCTGACAAATTAGTCAAGAGCCCATGTGGTGGTTTGCTGATAAGGTGCTATGGGTACGTTCCCTGTCTGGACCCCAGTACTGCTGGCAGGGGTATCAGAGGGACGTGCACTAGAAGTGCCTCCTGAATACTCAGCGGAAACATCAGTGTGTCCTGAGGAGCAGATGCCCTTGAAGGTGGACCAGGGAGCAGGTGCAGGGTGGGATGTCCTGTGCCAGGAAAGCTAGTAGCCCCATCTGTGGGGCACCTGGAGCATGCTGCCCCACAAGCCCCCACCCACTCCTGCAGGGATGCCTCAAGGGCTGGTGGTCTGCACCCCACTGGTGGGGTTCACCTCCTGCTGGGAGGAGAATGGCTGGCTGGGTGGCTGGCTCTGCTGCTGCAGGCATCCTTGCTGACCATGTGGTTGCTGGGGTGTCCCTGGTGACCCCAGGGGATGTGATCCTCTTGGGGTGATCTCCATGGCGTCGGACTCCCTCAGGTGACCATGGTGACTCCATAGGATGGGACACCCACCCCCAACACCCTTTGGGATGTCGTTTATGATCCTGTGGCATATGACCCCTCCAGGTGACACTTGTAACTCTATGGGCACCTTGGTGTCCCTGTGGGTAGTGACTCCTGTCTGTGCTTGTCCCTGGTGGCTATGGGTCCTGGGACATCCCTGGGCTGGGAAGGGGTGAGCAATGTGGGGCTGCTTCCCTTGCAGCCCCAGGCCTTCCCTTGCTGGCCTCTCTTGGGGTTCTCCAGTTTCTCTGGAGATGTGGTGTCACCACCACCACCTCTTACTCCTCGAGCTGATGATGAAGGTCCCATGTCCCATCACTCAGGCTGGGAAGTCATGCAGGGGTCCAGACTGTGAGACCAGTTGGCCTCAGGGCTGTCAGTGCAAGCATTACA